GTCCACCACTACTCTCTGGGTGCGCCCTATCAGCCAATTTTTTACCCATCCAACTGTGCAGGCATCAATGCTGCATTACTGATGAGGATGGGGTGAGAGACAGTGTCAAAGGCCTTCTTAAAGTCTAGAAAGACTACATCCACGGAGACACCATCATCTAAGGATTTAGTTGCTTTGTCATAAAAGGCAATCAGGTGGGTCAGGCAGGACCTGCCTTTGGTGAACCCATGCTGGTTGCCCCTGAGCATGATCTCCCCTGCAGGCCCCCCACAGATGTGCTCCTTGATGATCCTCTCCAAGATCTTCCCGAGCACCGAGGTGAGGCTTACAGGCCTATAGTTACTTGGGTCCTCCTTCCTCCCTTTCTTGAAAATTGGGACCACATTAGCCAGTTTCCAATCCCCCGGCACCTGGCCAGATGACCATGAATGCTCATAAAGCCAGGCCAAGGGCTCCGCGATGACCCCTGCCAGCTCCGTAATGGATTGCAAGTTGTGCACCTTCTCAAGAGCTCCAACCCAGTAAATCAGAAAGCGCCCAGGATCTCACATGAGATCCCAGACCTACCTTGGCTAAAACTGGCAACGGACATTTTTGACCTATGGGGATAGTCTTATTTGATCATAGTCAACTATTACTCCAAGTACCCTGAAGTTTTGCACCTGCCATACAAAACAGCCATCATTGTAGTAGCCAAAATGAAGTCTGTGTTTACTCGCCATGACATACTTAAAGCAAATGGTCTGTGATCACGTGCCATTTGCAAGTCACACAATGAAACTATTTGCGACCGACTGGGGCAGAACCATCACCCATTCTAGTCCGAGTTACTCACAATCCAATGGCCAGGCTGAACGCACAGTTCAAACTATCAAATCTACGTGTAAGAAGACTTTGCAGGATGGCTCCAATCTACATCTGGCTTGACTCAACCCAAGGATGTGCCTGTTACCTGTCTTGAGTATGCACCTGCGCAGCTTCCGATGGGGAGACTTTTGCAGTTTCCTCCCTGCTACAATGGCGGTGCCAACTCCTACACGCCCGTCGATTGCCTCCCACAAGTTGCAGAAACTTCAAAAAGGTGCCAAAAGGAGTGCTACGCTTGCATCCGTCACTCCATTCCTGCCACCTCTACGACACGGGGAGAAAGTAAGGATGCAAAAAAGTACAGGTTGGACACCAGCGTCCATCACGGCAAAAAGGGATCAACTGCACTCCTATGCAGTAACAACCCCCAGTGATAATGTCTACAGGAGGAACAGAAGACACTTAAGAAAGGATTACTTGTCAGCACTAGCTGCACATGTTAATGAACCTCAAGAGACGGCAGCAGAGCAAACTTCAGAAGACAAACCAGACCACCACGAGCAAAAGTTTCATCACATTGCAGGGAACGCACCAGAACCCACAGAGGACCCCAATGACACCACGCAAACTAAGAGTGGACGTGTGGTGAGACTGCCTGCGAAGTACAAGGACTAGATAAGGGGATAGCGGCAAAGGCCAGACCCCACCAGTGAGCCAAGTGCTAGCAACCTCTGGCTCCGTGACCCTGAAACCTCCCGTGTGAAAGTAGTGCCTGATGAACACCCAACTAGTTAAGAGGGAGCTCCCAGAGTAAGGTTTGGTATATGGAAGGTACCTTTAAGGGGCCAGCAGTGGGATGACCCAGTCTCTGCCCCGATGTCCTGTGGGGATAGTTGTAGTTCTCCCCATACACAGAGCGTGCCAGTTGATGAATCCTGTTCCTAATAAGGATAAAGCCATTTACGACCCCACCAGTCTCTGCTGAATGGCGACTTGAGGGCAGGACCGCAAAGGCACTGAACCCAGTGGCCTAGAGCAAACATTATAGGGGGCTCCTATAAAACGGTAGAAAGGTACCACCAGAGCAGTGCAGATGTCCCACTACACATCCTGCTCTCCAGAGTGAACGAGCTACTCACACTACCAGCAGGTTAGAGGTCATTTCTACCTAGGAGAACTTTTACAATCTTTTCTCCGATGCCTGATGAAGGGGGTTTGTGCCCAAAAGCTTGCAATTAAAGAATTTTTTTTGCAAAAATCTTGTTGGTCTAATAAAAAAAGATCATCTCTACTACAAGTCCCGATTGCCAGCAGGTTAGATACATTTGCAGGGCCAGGAAGGGATCAGCAGAGATGGCTGGAATCAACACTGCAGGTCTGCAACGTGGATCCTTTCAAACACGCAAGCAGGGGTTGTCTATCCGGCATTACCCTGGGGGCTACCCAATAGCATGGGCATCCTCCTTCACTTAAAAAGGACTGTTTGCACCAAAACAGCAATTCCTACAGAAAAGGAGAGATGCCCCTGTTTGCCCAAGGCAAAGTGCAAGCCCACGCTGGAGAAGACGTTGCAGCAGCCTGGAGCCCTCCTGCAGGGACCCCGTTAGCAAGCTGCGAGTTAGAGGTGGTGTTTTCCGCAAGTACTTCAGACAAAAACAAAAACCAAACAAACAAACCCGGACAGCATAGCAAACTCCAGCTAGACTCCTGTCCCTGCCCAACCTTGCTCTGTTTTCGGCTGCCAACGAGGCCAGGCCCGAGAACGCTGCAGTTATTACACGGGTCCGCCAGGTGGCAGAAGGAAATAAGTCAATGCGCGCACATCCCTTTCTCATGGTACCCAGGCTGTGTCTATACACCACGGAGGGAAAAGAAACCCTTTGTCCTCTTTATTGTTCCCAAGAAACACGCATGCAGCTGTCCCTGGGAAGGGCAGTACAGGACTGCACGCACCCCAGGATCTTAACACTCGATTGAAACTCCACATCCTCTAGATCACAGAAATCAGTAGGTGGCCCAGGTCCAGAGATGAATACTCATAAGCAGGGATCCAGGGTTTTCCGTTTCCCCATGAGAAAACAGTGGATTTTAGCTTTTACCAGAGGCAAATGTGGATTTCTCATTTTACTAGAGAAACCCATGGATTTTGCAGTTTTGCAACAAGCTCTCTGCAGGCCAGCAGAGCTCCAGCCTGCAAGGGGCTGGGGGCAGCAAGAGGGGGGTTGGGCAGGGGCACATGGCCCCAGACAGCCTGGAGAGCAACTCTCAAAAGTAAGTGTGTGTGCGTGCATGGGGGGCGGGGGTGTGGAAGTGAAGCCCCCATAGGGAGGGGAGGGAGTTGGGCAGGGCTGGGGCTGCTGCCTGGCCAGGTGGTGCATGGGGCTTGGGGCCCTGTGGCCATGCATCAGCCCCAATAGGGACTGGGACTAGGACAGGGCTGCAGGCAGCTTGTTGGTGGGGGGATGGGGGGGGGACAGCTCCCTGCCCCCCAGATCTCTGTGCAGGGACAGGTGCATGCTGCCCACTGTAGGCTCCCACCCTGCTGCCCTCCCCTGGGGCCTCTGCAGCTTGGCAGGTGCAACCCAGTGCTGCAGGGAACATCAGGAGGCCCCAGGGGAGGACAGCAGGGCGGGAGCGTAGACCCAGAGAAGGCAGCATGCACCTGTCTCCCCCCCACCCCACTGCAGATCTGGGGGACATGGGTCCCCTCTGGGAGTGCACACAGCTGCAGGGAGCCAGCCCCACTGCTGCAGCAGCCCCCACCTTCATCCAGGGGCAGGGGACTGTGGACCTGGGTCCTTGACCCCATAGCCCTGGCAGCTGGGGCACCCCTCTGGCAGGACGGAAAAGGGGAGTGAAGGGCCTTTCATTTAAAAAAAAAAAAAAAAAAAAAATCACTGATTTGGGGGTTTAAAGAGAGAGAATTTGCAATTTCAGGGAAAGCCAGGATCCCTGCTCATAAGCAACCAGATAAGTAAGCATCTGCACGTGCAGACAGTGACACTTACTGTGGAGTAAATTTGGCCCAGTGCACAGTAGTGTCGTGTGTAGACGTGCCCACTGGAAGCTAACTCTAAAGCCTCACAGACCAGGCAACTTGGTTCAGGCTCATTATCTGGTCATCCTTTATCGGATTAACTAATAATTCTGCCACCGTCCCTCAGATGAGCTGTTCTCCACTCACATCACATTGCGCCTTTAAAACAAAGTCCAAGAGAGTTACTTTATCCAGGCTCCACAAGCAGATTTCTGGTGTGGGCTGCCTGGGCGAGGAGGGCCCTCACCAGAGCGCACTACAGCGATGCTGGTTCACCTGCAAGACACCTCGGTGGGCAGGCGTCTCACAGCCCTGGTAGCTCACACTTTGCTTTAAGTGCAGCAATACCTTACTGCTGGGATGCGTTACTCAAACCCCAGAAGAACACCTTGCTGGCAGGCACGCACATGTGCTGCATACCCTCTCCTTTTGCAGAGACAGCCTGGGGACACCTCATCCCCACATTGTCCTGCACTTCATGAGACACGTAAGGATTGCTAAATGCCTCCATCATAACCAGTTAGAGATAACCAGCTCATGCATACATGCAGTACAAATCAGTCCGATTGTCCTCTCACTTACCCCATGTGTTCTGGCTGCCCGTTTTCCTCTGATCTTCACTCTGCTGCTGTCTGGCTCCTCCTTGCACCTGGTTGTATTAATACAGAATAGAAAAAGTTAAGATCAACTCAAAAGAGGCCAGCAAACATATTAGCAGCAGTGATCAAGCCTAAACAGAAACCTCTCCAGAACACGTCTCTTCCCTTCCTTCCAAGGATCCCCCATCCCCACTCTATTTTATTCCTCGATATATTAGCAACATGACTAGGACTGCTAGTTGCTGGGGCAGGACCCTGGAGTCTCGTTTTTATTGATAGCAAAGGCAAAGCCCCGTGTTAACTTCAACGGGCCTCTGGTTTTTACACTGTCCATAAGAGCCACATGCTGCAACTAACCCCGAGATGTACCCTGGGTTTGTGCCAGCTCGGCCCCCGCCTCCAAATGGGCATGCCCGGGTTATTGAACCGATTTCTGGGGTAAATTAACACAGACAGGTCAGTCAAATAAATGAGGGGAGAAGGAAGGGTTTACTGCAGGGAAAGA